TACTCTTCATTTCAATCAACGAAACACTCATTAATTTTGAACACATTTTTAAACAACAATTAAAACACAATTTAAATACAAAACAAAATGAGATTTACATTTGAAATGAAGTGAAACTCAATGGAAAAGGAAATGAAATAAAATGTATATCCTTTACAACACGTGCTCTCATTGATAGTGAAAACCTGTTTATCAAATATTGTTACCATGTTTTCAGGTATTGGGAATTGTTGAAAACACAACTACATTCAAAACTTAAGTTAAAATCACATTTGAATACAATTATTATAATTTAAATCTGAAATATATTTACTGAAATAAAAATTCTGATAAACTTTATATTCATATTTTGTAAATTCATTTCGAGACAAAGTCCTAAAGTAATGATACATTTCATACAATAGAATAAATCACTTGTTATTCAAAAAATAAATATTTAATTAATTTGTATTTCATTTAATTGATTACATTTGATAATCAAATCCCAAACAATAATAATTGTTAAGCGCTTTCTTGAGCTCAAGTGAACTGTTTTTGTCGACATTTTGTAGATAATAGTCGTCCACACGTTTCACATCCAATCCGTGGTAAACACTGTCCGATGTCTTCGTGGACTCAATCAAGTCATTCAAAGTTATTGTCTCTTTCATAGGGTTTATGGTTAAGAATATCAGCTCAAGACGTGATCCAAAGCCACCAAAACATGACATCGTTTTGTTAAATGTCGTAATAATAGGGAATTTAATTCAATGTTGAATTTTATTTTTAATAAAATCATAAATTTATTCATTCAAACATTGTTTATAAGCAATAATGTTAAACAATAAATGATTACAATATTTAATAGCATTCATAATTAGTATAAATATATTGATTTCTATTTGATAAAAAAATAATAACTAATTTTCAAATTATATTTTGTGATAATTTCTAAAATGATATGAAGGATATGTTTTAATTAAAAAAACTTTGCAATTATTGATTAAACATTTAAATTGTTTAGCAGTTAAATGAGTGCTCTTATGGTCTGTTAATTATGACATTTATATAAAACCTTTACATAAAGATTGCAATAATTTATTAAACATTAATACAATATTTATAAATCCAAACTTTGATTAAACATTAATAGTAAATACAATGAATTCAAGAAATTTAAAAATGATGTTACATTTTAATATCAATTTATTTTTTATGGACATATCTAACATGTCTTTGAAGATATCTATTGCTGGCATAACTTCCGCCACAATCCTTATAATGACATTTAAATTGTTTAACAGTTAAATGAGTGCTTTTATGGTCTGTTAAATATGACATTTTATGAAAACTCATATTACAATCTTTGAAACCACAAACAAATGGTTTTTCTCCCGAATGTATGCGTTTGTGTACAATAAGGGCTGAATTTGAAATAAAATTTTTGCCGCAATTCTCTTCATTGCATTTAAATTTACTTTCGTTTAAATGAACAAAGTTTTTGTGCTGAAATAACCTGTATTTGTCTACAAAACTTTTGTTACAGTCATTGAAATCGCAAACAAATCTAAGTTTTAAATGAACGCGATTTTTATGAGCGACCAAATGATTGGTTTGTTTAAAGGTTTGCTTACAATCGGGAAAATCACATTTAATTAGCCTTTTATTCAAATGAACATTACTTTTGTGTTGAGATAAATGTGAAACTCTTTTAAAGCTTGCATTACATCCGTTGACATCACAAACAAATGGTTTTTCACCCGAATGAATGCGTTTGTGTACATTTAGTATGCATTCTTTAGCAAACATTTTGCCACAATTTCCTTCATTACATTTGAATGGCTTTTCATTTAAATGAACACAACTTTTGTGAAAAACTAAATCTCTTTTTCGGGCAAATTTTTTGTTGCATTCATTGACATCACAAATAAATTTCTTATTATTTAAATGAATGACATTTTTGTGATGAACTAATTGTTCGTTTCGTTTATAACTTTGATCACAAAAATCACATTTAAATTCACGTTTTTCTGAATGAGTTATTTTGTGTTGTTTTAAATGATGTTTATTTGTTGTCTTGTAATCACAATTAGGATAACAACAGTGAATATATTCATTAGTAATTAATTCATTGCTTTTAAGTCTCTTTTTATTCAAATGAATGTAATTTTTGTGTGATATTAAACCTTGTATTTGGTTAAAACTTTTATCACAATCTTTAACATCACATTTATATTGTTTGTTATCTGAATGAAGTAATTGGTGTTGAATAAAATTGCCTTTAATTGTTGTTTTATATTGACACTTAGGCCAAAAACAGTGTCGTTCTTTACCACGATTTAAATGAACATCATTTTTATGTCGATTTAAATATTGTTTTGTATGAAAACTTTTATTACAATCTTTAAAATCACAAACAAATGTCACATTTAAATGAATGCTATTTCTATGGCTAATGAGAGTTCTTCTGTTTTTGAAAACTTTATTACAATTATTTAAATCACATTTAAATTGTTTTATAGTTGTATGACTTAATTGATGTACACTTAACTCCCATTGCGTTGATGTATTGAATTGACATTTAGGCCAAAAACAGTGAAAATAATCATCAGATTTACTAATTATATCACTTTTGGGAAGCATTTTATCACTGATTTTGATTGAATTGCAATCAATTGTTTGAACGATTGAAATATTGTCATTATTTTCACATCCAATCGCTTCACACAAAACACTATTATTTGAATACAAAATACATTTCATTTTATCAATTTTTTCACAAAAACTCTTGATTTCAATTAATTTGCAAATCATTTCATTTATAGAAACACTCATTGAATTTGAAGACATTTTGATAAATAACTTAAAACACAAATTAAATCAATATTTTCTATGAACTGAAACTAAACAACACTTAAAGTAATTGTATGAACGAAACACTCATTAATTTTAATCCAATTTTCAGGCAATAAATGAAACAAATGTTGACTTCATTTGAAATGATGTGAAACTGAATTCAAACCTAATGTGAATCCAACGGCTATTCCCTCACAATATAATCTAATATCCGGTTCCTAAAAAACACGTGATTCTCATAATAAGAGTCTCATTGATATTCAAAACTGTTTATCGATTATAATGTCAGTTAAGCTGTGCTTCACATACGCTGTGATCGCCATTTCATGCGTTGGTTTGAAGTCTAATGAATCACTTATTGATTGGTCGATACAATAAACGGCACAACATTTAAAAAATAATCAATCATGATATTGTTTTTCTATTTGCTTCTAATTAAGATTACTAATAATCATAATAATTAATTATGTGATTTAATTAATAAATATAAATACAATGTAATAAAACTACTTAAAAATACTTGTTTTATATAATATATGATAAGTTATGATAAGTTTGCGATTAACCATGAGCATGAATAGCAGGAATAATAAAACTTAACGAAATAATTCATATACGTTAATTCATTACAATAAACAAATTTAATTACAAATATACAATAGAGATGGATTAATATAATAAATATAATTGTATTTAGTGTTTGGATTTTAAGTGATTAGTTAGCGCTTGTTTAAGAGTAAATGATTTATTACAACCAATTTGTGTGCATTTGAATGGTTTAATGTGTAAATGAATGGCATTCATGTGATCTCTTAACAGAGGTTTAGTAAAAAATTGTTTTTCACAATCATTTGAATTGCATTTATATTTCCGGATATTTAAATGACATCTCCTGTTGTGAACGAATAAAGTCGTCGATTGTTTGAAACTTTTATTACAATCATTGAAATGACAAACAAATAGTTTTTCTCCCGAATGTATGCGTTTGTGTTCAACAAGATGTGCATTTCTGGAAAATTTTTTGCCACAATTTTCTTCATTACATTTGAATTTCTTTTCATTCAAATGAACACATCTTTTGTGTTTAATTAAACTCGATTTGTTTGCATAAACCTTATGACAGTCTTTGAAATTACAAATAAATCTTACATTTAAATGAACGCTATTTTTATGAAGACTTAAACCGGTATATGATTTAAAAATTTTGGCACAATTAGTAAATTCACATTTAAATTGTTTTATTTCTGAATGACTTAATTGATGTGCTGTCAGATTACTTTGTCTTTTTGTTTTAAATTGACATTTAGGCCAAAAACAGTGAAAATAATCATCA